GGAAAGGGGCATGTGTTTGTTTAATTTATTTTATTTATTTTTTAAAAAAAATATATTTTTTATTGATTTCAGAGAGGAAGGGAGAGATAGAAATATCAGTGATGAGAGGGAATCATTGATCGGTTGCCTCTAACACACCTCCTACTGGGGACCAAGCTCGCAACCCAGGCATGTGCCCTGGACCGGAATCGAACCCGGGACCCTTGAGTCCGCAGGCTGACGCTCTACACCCTGAGCCAAACTGGCTAGGGCATTGTGAGCCTGCTGTGTGGCTGGACCTCTTCGGGGCCCTGGAGATTCCGTCATCAGGAAGAGTAGTGCCTCACAGGCTGGAGGGGGGCAGACTGCAAACAGGTCATTCCACAGGGTGACAGTCGCCAAGGCGTGAGTGCTTTCTGTGTGCGGGGCTCTTTGCCTGGTTCACTCATTCAGGTCCCACAACCACCTCATGAAGTGGGAGCTGTTATCATTCCGCAGATGGTGAAGCCGGCTTAGCGAGGTCAGGTAACTGGCCCAAGGTCACACAGCCAACAAGCCAGGGTTAAACGCAGGCCTTTCTGACCCCAGAGTCTTAACCTTTACTCTGGAGCTTCAGCACCAGAATGAGAAAGAGTGGGGTTAAACAGGGGTGGGCAAACTTTTTGACTCGAGGGCCACAATGGGTTCTTAAACTGGACCGGAGGGCCGGAACAAAAGCATGGATGGAGTGTTTGTGTGAACTAATATAAATTCACAGTAAACATCATTACATAAAAGGGTACGGTCTTTTATTTCAATAGTTTTATTCATTTCAAACGGGCCGGATCCAGCCGCGGGCCGTAGTTTGCCCACGGCTGGGTTAGATCGTTGGTTCTGCTCCTTACTGGCTGTGTGGCCTCAGACAGGTTGCTTAACCTCTCAGCTGTGGTTTCCTCCTCGGTCAGTGGCCAGCACAGGTGCTCGCTAGTGTGGCCTTGGGAGGAGTTGATGAGAGGACATTGTGGGGCCACAGCACAAGGCCTGGACCCTAACAGACGCCTGGACGCCTATGTTGCTATTTTCTTCCTAAGGGGTAGCGCTGGCCTGACAATGTGCAGAGAGCCCGGGGGATCTTCACTGGGGAGCAGGGGAACTTCCCAGGGCGGGACCTGGAGACAGCACCCGTTTCCCCTGGGCCAGGAGAGGGGAGGAGCTGCGGGCCAGCTGGGAGCTTCCCAGGCCCCACCAGCACTTCCCTCCCTTTCAGGCCCTGGAGCTGGACTCCATCCGAAGCCACCACTGGTGCATCCAGGGCTGCAGCGCGGTCACAGGGGATAACCTGCTGCCTGGCATCGACTGGCTCCTCGATGACATTTCCAGCCGCATCTTCACAGCCGACTGAGCCGCTCCAGGTGCCCCCACCTCGCAGTCCGGGCCCCCCCTAACCCAGACCCTCACCAAGCACCACCCATGGGAGGATGGGAGTCAGCCAGCCCAACTAACACTCCACGCCCCTCCGTAACCTGCTGCTGCTGCCCCATGGCCAGCCCAGATCCTATGGCAGGTGGGCCGCTGCCTGGCTGTCACCCTGGCTCATGACCCAGCCCCCCTGCAGCTGCCAGACCAAGAGGCAAGGGCTGAGGCTGGGAGGGGGCTGCCTCTGCTGCTATCGAGACTATGGGCCTCGTCCTTGCTCAGCTGTGAGAATAAACTCTTCCTTGTCCTGATTCCTGGCTGAGTCATTTGCTAATTCAACAGCTTTAGAGACCACCTAGGGACCACAGTCCAGCGGGGGACAAAGGGACAGATCATTTCAGTCAGAGGGTTAACTGATGCTGTGTCTAAGGGATATGCAGAGTATAGAAGCATAGGACCGGGCTGCAGTTATTGCCATTTGGAAGAGTCCAGGCAGGCTTCCCAGAGGAGGTGACATTAAAGCTGGGAGTATAGGATGAGTAGGAGTTTTCTGGATAGAGGAAAGCGAAGGACAGTTTAACAGAGCGACTGCTATCCTCAGAGGTATGGATTAGAAAAAGGGTACACATACACCCGTACATCAGGACTCACAGCTTCTTGAATGGAACACGGGCTGAATTTCAGCTCCCAACTTCCTGTAGCAGCCAGGAACCCACATGCAGTGGACAGCCTGCAGGCTGCACAAGGCAGCACAGGTTCAAGCAGAGGAAATCACATGACAGGAATAAAGAGCAAGGGCTCTTGGGAAATAGGGAGTGCCTAGGACACAAGCAGGAGGAGCTGACCAAGAGCAGAGCATGGAAGGGGCCTTCCTGAAGGCTCTAGGCCAGTGGTTCTCAACCTTCTGGCCCTTTAAATACAGTTCCTCATGTTGCGATCCAACCATAAAATTATTCTCGTTGCTACTTCATAACTGTCATGTTGCTACTGTGATGAACCGTCATGTAAATATCTGATATGCAGGATGGTCTTAGGCGACCCCTGTGAAAGGGTTGTTCGCCAAAGGGGTCGCGACCCACAGGTTGAGAACCGCTGCCCTGGGGCACTCTGAAGCAGGGGCTGGTCTGAGGAAGATGGGAACGAGGGCGCCCAGGATAGCAGGACGGACGGATGTTCCACAGGGACCTGTGCTGTGGCCTCAACGTGGCTGCTTACCCTGCAGGCTTCTGTCCGGAGACCTGCACTTCCGGTCACGTTGGAGAATGGCCTGAGGAGTACAGACTCAGTATTCCAATGGCAGGGTGTGGGCACGCACCTCCAGGAGGCCACATGACTTGCTCAGAGCCACCCAGCGAGGAAGTGGGGGCGCTGAGACTTGGACCCAGCACACTTCGCCCTGTAACTGCTTCCAGTGTTTGTCTCTGCTTAAAATGCAAACTGCAGGGAGAGGGTCTAATGAGAGCAGGGCAGTTCTGCCAAGGGAAGGGAGGAGGAGGCACTGGATTTCCTCCTGAATTAGCTCTGGGACCCCTTCCTGGAGGGGTAGAAACCTGTGCAAAATCTGGGCTCTGTTAGGGTGAAAGAAGGGAGGTGGGAGTTGGGTGGACACCCTTAAAAAACATCAACTGTCCTTCAGGGTGGAACAGTGCAACCGCCTGCCCTGTCCTCTATGCAAGACGGACACCATGGCCATCACACTCCCAAATCTTGCGCTGAGCGCACGTACCCAGGCTCTGGGGCCAAACCCCAGCTGTGCTCCTCCCTGGAAGATGCTGAGCAAATCACCTAACCCATCTGGGCCTCAGTTTCCCCATCTACGAAGAAAATGGTGCCGACCTCCTAGGGTTGTGATGAGGACCAGACGGGTGGGTGTCTCGTGTCTTAAGCACTGTACAAAGCTAGCTATAATTATCATCATATGAGCCAGTGGGAGCTCAAACAGACCCAAGCAATGTGAACTCAGCCATCCACTGGTCTGGGTGAGTCACCCGTGTTCAGGTCCTCCTGGGGGCCCTGAGTCAGCATCATCCTTGATTTAAAGAGCGAATTATGCACGTCAGGAAAATAACAAGGCTATTATACTCCTCACAAAGGCCTATGGACGGGGAGTTGGAGCTGTGGCCGAAAGTCTGCGTCACATGGTCAAGCAGGGCGAATGTGGGGAGCAGCTCCCTGCAGCTGCACGCTGGCGGCGCTTCCCTCTCCCTACCTTCTTCGCAGGCTCTTCTGTTTGCTTCTCCCAATAACAGAGCCGGTGGAGTTTGGTGATCTGGAGAAGGCCAGAGACCGCTGATCTAGATAGGAAAGGCTCTGGAAGGGGCGGAAGAAAGCAAGCAGAAAGGGGAGCATTGGGAGCCACTGGGCCAGGAAGGGAGGTCATGATGGGTGACAAGGAGACTTGGAGACACAGCCCTGCCCAGAAAGATCTGGGGAGCAGCAGCCATGTCTAAAGGGGTCTTTAGAGGAACCCCATCCCAGCCAACTCCCCAACCCCTCCTAGATGAACTACCTCACTTCTGAGTTTCCAAGGGTCTGACTTGGGATTTTGCTGTGTGTTTCTTTCTAGAAACAGTGTCCACACAGCTGAGTTCTCGTAACAAGAGATGAAAGTGCTTCGCCCATAGTCAGGGTCCGTGACGGCCTGCCCCCGGAGCAGAGCACACCTGCCTTTGGTCGGAAGGACATTTCTTGGAAGGATACTGGGGACTCACGGCCTCCCGATGGAGACTGGATGTCCAGGCTTGGAAAACAGACGGCTTCAGAGGCTGGGCAGCCAGTCCACAGCCAGCACTGTACTCCAGGGACACCTTGGTCTCCTTGCCAGGCACTGCGCCCTCTGTCTTTCACTAGAGATTCAAGGTCTCAGGAGAGAGTCCCTCACCCCCACCTGGGACCTGCGGCAAGAAAAGGAGGTGACACCTTTAGATTCCGGAGCAGGAGGCTGAAGGGCTACACATACTACAGAGCTACCTCCAAAATGATACTAACAGGAAGGGAGGAAAGAAACACCCACAGTGTCTATGATCATATCCCCATTCTAGGGATGAGAAACTGAGGCTCGAGTCGTTATGGAACTTCAGCACCCTTGACACCAACGTGCTTCTCCGGCGTTCTTTTTGCTCCCCCCATCCTTCCAGAAAACATGAACTAGGGAATCCCAGGGAGGGAGACAGGAAAAGAATTGAGCTATGTCCGGCACATATAGGACACAATACAAACTGGGCGAATGGCCCTAACCGGTTTGGCTCAATGGACAGAGCGTCGGCCTGCGGGCTCAAGGGTCCCAGGTTCGATTCCGGTCAGGGGCATGTGCCTTGGTTGCAGGTACATACCCAGTAAGGAGTGTGCAGGAGGCAGCTGATCGATGTTTCTAACTCTACCCCGCTCCCTTCCTCTCTGTAAGATAAAATATATTAAAAAAAAAAAAAACCAAAAAACTGGGCGAATGGATGCAAGGGGATTGGGAAGCAGCGGAGAAGCCGTGTGGAGATGTGCGATGAGGGTCACTCTCGGATGGGTGGACAACCTCCCCATCTTAGCCTCAGATCACCCAGTTTACGCTTTGCCAACTACCAGACCTTTTTAGACGCTCCCTTGGCCGCGCGCCAGACCGCGAACGGCGCCGTCACTTGCGACCAGCTCCCTGGGCGGGAGGCTGCTGGGCGCAGGCCCGCGAGAGGTGAGGCTGGCAGCGGCTGACCCGGAGGGGCGGGGGCGGCGGGCGGCTCGCCCCGGCTGGGCTGCCATGTCCCGCCGAGCGAAGGACGACTTCCTGCGGCACTACACCGTCTCCGACCCCCGGACGCACCCCAAGGGCTACACGGAGTATAAAGTGACCGCGCAGGTGAGGCGGGGCCAGGGGCACCTGACGGTCTCAACGCGAGAGGGGCCGTGTTGGACCTTAAGGCAGGTCGCGGCTGCAGGCTCCTTTTTGGCGGACAGAAATAGGCGTCCCCTTTAAGCGGAGGTGTAGGTGCGAGTCTTCTGGGGCCTCTGCCGCCGGCAGGGGGCGGAGCCATGGGAGGGCGCTGTCCTCTTAAAGGGGCGTGGACTGCAGTTCCTGGACCTGAGCGTTGGGGTGCCCACGCCCCAAGTGTGGTGTCTGGGCATCAGGCTGTGAATTTCTTTAAATTAATATGAACGCTCTGGCTCCACCCAAATATTAGTTAGTTCTCCAATCTCTCAAAGTAAGTTTTGTTTTTTGGTTTGTTGGATATTTACATAAAAGCACTCTAAAGAGTTTATTTTTAAAATAGTATTAAAAAAAAAAAACTTGTCTATGACTTTAAAAATTCATATAGTTCACCCGGCTGGTGTGGCTCAGTGATTGAGCCTCGACCCCATGAACCAAGAGGTCAGGGTTCGATTCCTAGTCAGGGCGCATGCCCGGGCGGTGCGCTTGATCCCCAGTCGGGGGCGTGCAGGAGGCAGCCCATCCATGATTCTCTCTCATCATGGATGCCTCTCTCCCTCTCCCTTCTTCTGAAATCAATTAAAAAACACACACAGTAGTTTTTTTAAAAAGGAGCAACCATTGAATACATAAATAAGTGGAACAACAAATTGATGTTTCTCCCCCTTTCTCTCTCTAAAATCAATAAATGTAAATTTTTTAAAAATAATAAAGTTCCATGTTATACTCCCATTCTTGCCAGCACTTGCTATCATCAGCATCTTTAATTTTAGCCATTCTTGGTGGGTGTGGAATATCTCACTGGAGTATTAATTTGCATTTCTCTGATGAGAAATGATGTTGAGTGTATTTTCATAATCTTATTGGCACCCTGGCCAGTGTGGCTCAGTGGTAGAGTGTCAGCCCACGTACCAAAGGGTCTCAGGTTTGATTCCCTGTATGTACCTGGTTTGCAGGTCGGTCCCAGGCCCCAGTCAGGCCACGTGTGGAAGGCAACCAATTGATATGTCTCTCTCACATCAATGTTTCTCTCTCTCTCTCTCTCTCTCTCTCTCTCTCTCTCTCTCTCTCTCTCTCTCTCTGTCTCCACCCTCCCTCCCTTCCACTCTCTCTAAAAATCAATGGGAAAAATATCCTTGGGTAAGGATTAACAAAAGACAACAACATCACAACATAATCTTATGGGCCACTCATATGTCTTTTTCTGAGGGATGTGTCCAAGTATTCTGCCCATTCTGCCTGATTTTTGAAGTTGGGTTGTTTGTCTTATCTTTTTGTAGTTCTTTGTATTCCGGATATGAGTCCTTTGTTAGGTACATATTGCTCAATGGTTTTTAAAACAAGCTTCTACTTTGAAAACTGTCAAGTACTCCAAGCTGTAGGATGTTATTGTCAAATTATTACCAACAAAACAGTGAATTGGAGTCTTCTTACTACCTCAGGCCTGTCTGCTCGACCAGGGGTCACAGCCCCAGTGATGGTTTGTCTTTGTCCAGGAGTGTCCATCCACAGAGGCTCCCTCCTTTAGGAAGGAGCGGCTCCTGGGACAGAACCCCACTTTTTAGAGAAGCTGCAGGGACTTGGCCCTTTGAAGGAGCTGACATGAAAGTCGGGCTGAGGATGCAGGAGTCTGGAGCAGCCTATAGGGAGCCTCTCATTTGACAGATGAAGAGACCGAGGTGCATGATAGCAAAACGGCCCCAGGTTACACGCAAAGCCTGAAAGCCAGGTCACCTGGATACCAGTGGCCACTGGCTGCCCCTCGGAGGGGAGCTGGGAGGTACCTGGGGCACCCTAGGATTTCACAGGGTGATGGGATGGCAGGTGCCAGTCTCTGGTCTCACCTGGTTCTTGCCTTTCTTCCTCAGTTCACCTCCAAGAGAGACCCAGAGGATGTCAAAGAGGTGAGGCTCCTGGGAGGGAGGGGGCCCATTCCCCCATTCCAGATCTGCAAACAGCAAAGGAGCAGCAGCTGGTAACTCTGTGCGGACACCAGCCCCCTTGACCCTGGGCCGGGCGGGGGGCGAGGGGGACCTCTCCCCACGTTGCTGGGCCAGTCAGGTCCCCGTTCCTCTTAGGTGGTGGTCTGGAAGCGGTACAGCGACTTCCGCAAGCTGCACGGAGACCTGGCCTACACCCACCGCAACCTCTTCCGCCGCCTGGAGGAGTTCCCTGCCTTCCCGCGGGCCCAGGTGTTTGGTGAGTGGCTCTAGGCATTCAGGCCAAAGATGGTCGAAGAGTTGGGCACAGGGGGCCTCTGCTGGCGGGGGCTGGAGAGACATTCCAGGGGCTGGGAGGGCCCTGGGAGCTGGCCTGTTACCGATGGAGACCTGGAGGCTCACCGGAGCCTCGCCCTGATTGTGTCAGACGCTTTACCATTCCTGCCCTCATTAGTGTTAGGTTAGGTGGCTCAGGAGGCGGCGCAAGAAATAGAGTCCAGTGAATCAGAAAAGAAAGGAAAGGAAAAGGTTTATTCTGCGTCCCCGGGAGACCCACGTACCCCAAGGACAGGGCACGTGGATTCACACCAACAGGGAGGGGGGCGCTTTTTTATACTGCGGTTGGGTGAGGGGCGGGGACATGAGCTGAGGAATTCTCTGCTGCAGGGAATGGGCGGAATATTCAGGACGAAGTTCTTATCTGTGTGGGGGTATGTGAATTCAGGGAGAAGAAGCTGGTATCTGTGTCTGGCACCTTGATCTGTGAGAAATTCCAGGGGAAGTCCATTATCTTGTCATGTCTGCATGTATCCGATCCTGGGCTCTCTCCGACCTAACATCCCGGCCTTTTGGTGATAAGGGACGGCGACTCGTTCTGGCTGCTTCCAGCTGACCACGGGCGGCGAAGGGGGGCGTTTAAAGGCCAGGGTTAGGCAGAGGCAGATCGGAGGGGAGCCGAGTGTAGGGATGGAGCAGGAGCTGATTCACATTCACGTGTGACATCTCCGCAATCCGGGAGTGGATGAACTTGAGGAGGCAGGGCCTAGGAGAAAAAAGAACACAGATGAGAATCAGGGGCCCTATCATGGGTAGGACCCAGGTGGCTAAGGGGCTTTGGAACCAGCCGGAAGGAGAGTTGTCCTGGAAGTGTCCTGCATGTAGTTCTTCAGTCAGCTTAGTCAGGGTCTGTACGTTTACGTTTTGCTCCACTACTCCGGACTCGATGTAGTAACAGCATTCTTCCTGAAGGAATATGCAGGTTCCTCCTTTTTCTGCAGTCAGAAGGTCTGAGGCGAGCTGGTTCTGCAGGGCTACTTGGGCTACTGATGTCACTTGTCACTGTAGGGAGGCTAAAAAGAGGCGGTAGTAGACTCCAGGGCTAACTGGAGCTTGTCATTAAAGTACTGAGCAGTGACCAGACTGTTCCCGAGGTCCCCCCAGTGAGGCCTACTGAGGCAGCGATACTCACCCCTAAAATGACAGGGGGGAAGGCAGCCCAGCGGGTCCAGGGATGGGATGGAGGGAGCAACCAGTGAGCTCCGACTCTCCATACAAGGTTAGTTGGGGAACTACTGTGACCACGAAGCAAGGCCTGGGGTCAGAGGAGTTCATGCAGTTCCTTAAGGTGCCGTTGCACCAAAAGAAGGTACCTGGGCTGGCCTTGGTGAGACTGGCTGCAATGTGGTATGATAGTCTCTTCTGTGGCAACCCCATAGGTGTTGACATCTTGATTACATCTGGCTGGGTTCCGCTACCGGGTGACTTGTTTGCCGTTCTGGTAGTAGGTTTCACGGACCTTGAACCTCCACACATAAGCGGGTGGGGGTGGATGTAGGTTGCTCAGGGCCAGGAGGAGAAGGGGGAGGGGAGGGCGGTTAAGGCAGACCTTAGTGGGGCCCAACACCTCACATTTATAGATGTCATGCTGCTCCGGGGTCCTCTTGAGTCTGGAGAGGCGGTGCCAGGACAGGTCGTCAAGCTGGAGTCGCCAAGCAGCTTGGCCGCAGTGGGGGCTGTGAGGATTACAGTGTGAAGTCCTGCCCACCTAGGCTCCAAGGCTTGTGGTTGTAGGTTCTTAAGGAGGACCGAGTCACCAGGATGAAGGGCTGGTCTTGGGAGTCCTGTTCGGTCGGCTCTGGCTTGGGCAGAAACCTGTTCTCGTGTTCTCGGAGCAATTGCCTGGTTAAAGACAGATATGGGAGATACGTACCCAGGGCAGGGGGATCAGTAAGAAGACGGTGGTTGAGCAAGAAGAGTCAAAAGGGCTCAAGAAAATGGGGCTCCTTGGTGTAGCCGGAGTTTGGTCAGGGCCATGGGCAGGAGGTCTGGCCAGGAGCTGCGAATTTCTAGAGAGAGTTTAGTTAGATGGTTCAATAGGTTGGAATTGAGTGGCTATGATGAGGGTTCAAGCCAGTGACAGAAATCCAGCAGGATGTAGAGGAGGAGGGATTGATGTTAGAGAGTAGATGGGAAGTTGTGTTGATGAGGGTGGGCATAGGAGTAGGTCCAGGGTTCGTAGAGAGCGACATTAGAGGATTTCCCATCCAGACAGTAGAATTGATGACTCCCTCATCATTCCGTGTCCGTTTCACCTGAAAATATGAAAAACCTGAGCAGAATTGGAGGGTCCCTTGCCAGGTAAGAGCCTGTGAGGAATGTGTCATCCGGTCCTGGATGGTGTCGCCGAATCTTCTTCGGGGATGGTGGGAGGCACTCGGTGAGCCTGAGAGAGGTAGGTATTGCAACGAAAGTGGGAGAAAACATTAAAATGCGCTGATATCCAAAGGAAAATGGAAGGAGCAGTGGAAGCCAGGGACCTGGAGGCTGGAGAAAAGGCGGAGAGGGAGGGAGCAGGTCGCGCAGCCTGTTCCCAGGCCTCTAGCCGCTTGGATTTTAAAACTGCCGCATTTTTCCTTTGGGGAGGGTGGAGGGGGATGGGGCGAGGTCAGAGCAGTTTTCAGTTCAGAGGAGGGGACAGTTGTGGCGGAGAGAAGGAGAAAAGGCGTTCACAGCGAAGACTGAGGTAGGCGACGACTGAGCTAGGCAAAGACTGAGCTAGGCTACTGTGGTCTGGGACAACTGGGCCCCATGACGGGATGCATGGCAGTGGAGGATCTTTGTCCCTGTAAAGGGAGGGGGCCAGGAGTGGGAGGGGCAGGGAAGCTGAAGGGCTCAGAGTGAGCTGCAGAGTGGCCACTAGGATGGTGAGGATGTCTCGTCCTAACAGGGGCATGGAGCATGCTATTATCAAGGAGGCAGGGAAGGGGTCCAGTGGCCAGAGGGCAGGTGGATTTGCCGTCAGCACCCATGTCCGAGATCTTGGAAGGATAAAGGGGCCCTAAAAAGGAGGGCAGGACAGAGAAGGCAGCCCCCGTGTCAACCGGGAAGGTGACCTACTACCTTCATTGTGACCCAAGGCACAGCGAGGAGATTGGAGTCATCGAGGCTGGGCTTCTTCAGTCTTCAGCCAGTTCCAACATGGCCAGCGGGTCGTCCTGGACTGGAAGGGTGGTCCCCCCATGCTGAGGCATAAGGGGCCCGCCACTTTTCCAGGGCAGTCATTCTTCCAGTGACCATTTTGACCTCACGCCGGGCAGTGCTTGGTCGGAGCTCGGGGCCAGGGGCACTGCATTGCCCAGTGGCCTTCATTTCCGCATTTGAAGCATTCTCCAGGCGGTGTGCGTCCTTTCGTTGCACCCCCACCGCGCACGGCCCCCTTGGGACCATGCGCGGCTGCCGTCCACCTCAGGGCCACAAACAACTAAGGCGTGTCTGCAGGTCTACCTCCTGTGGAAGGCAGGCCTCCCATTCTGACTGTGCCTGCTCCTCCAGGGCATTAAGAACCTTCAAGGCCATTTTTCACTCGATCTCGGACCTGGGTTTGAGGACTAATAAAGACCTTAAAGGTCGGGTTAGAGAGGCCGTTTTGGAGCTGACGTTCTTAGGATTTGGGCTCTAGGGGAGAAGGAAGCTTCTCGTTAAGAGGGTCTGAAGAGAGCACAGCTGCAACCTCTCGCAAAGGAAACTGGTCGGCCACCTGTGAACTAAAGTGCTGGCAGTCATGGTGGCGGAGTTTCAGCGGAAGGCGGACGGTTAGACCTTACAGAGGGCACTGCGTGGGGTACTGGTTACTAAGGCAGGCTGTAAGGGGAGGGGATAGCGCGGGAGAGGTGGCCTGGGTGGGCTTGGGAGAGGTATTGGCAGTTGAGTTTAAAAGCTGCAACCTCCCAGGGGCAGAACGGAGGAGGAAGGACAGAAGGAAGGTAGAGCCTACGGAGGCGTGTGTGCACCGACTGAGAAAGCAGGCAGAGGCGGCAGGGGACTTGAGTTGCCGTCTCCCGCAGTGGCTACGGCTTTAGCGGCTGCAGCGGTGCGCGGACGGACAGACCAACTGCGCGGAGGAGGGCATGGGGTTGTAAAAGGCGGTTTGAGTTCCCGGCCGCTGTGGGGCGGGCAGAAGAGGGGAGGCGGGGCCAGGGGTCGACGGAAGGCGTGGCTGGAGGAGAGTCCGGCAGGGAGGGAGGAGGGGAGAGTGTGGACGGACAGGGGCACGAGGCCGGTGGGAGAGCGGCGGCTTATGCCGGGGGAATTTGTGGTGGCCTCTGGTGAAGGGGGGGTCGGAGAGCACAGAGACAATGATGATGATTACGGCGCTCCGCCACCCACACACAGCACATGAACCCACCCCCACATGCACCACACACACCGCGGGCTCAGCGGTGCGGGGAGCAGCACGGCGCAGGGACAGCCCGGAGGGAGGAGGAAGGACAGGAGGAGGAGAAATGGCGGAAGGAACTTTGGGGGGGGGGGGACGGGGAACGCAGAGAGATGGAGAGAGGCTTAAAGAGAGACTGAGAGAGACTGAGAGAGAGACTTGGGCAAATTTCCCAATTCGCTGGCAGAAATTACTGAGGTCGGTGTGACGGTAAAGTCAGGGTCCCGTTTTCATACTGAGGACGCAGGTCCGGGGCAGGCCCAGCGTTTAGCCAGATCAGCGAGCAGGCACCCTAGAGGTGTGCTCAGGTCAGGTTTGGAATTTGGATTCCCCCTGTGCTTGACCCCTGTGGCCTGTAGCGGGGCTAAAGGCTGGCGTCCCAGCGGTTTAACCCACGCTACGGAGGGACGGAGGGACCGTGGGCGGGGTAGAGGCGTCCCTGCTACCCCCCCCAGGTCCGGAGGAGCCTTCCTGGAAGGGTCTGGAGAGGCAATCTCTGACGTGGCCACGGTTTACGGACAGAGATGCCGGCGGGCGGGCGGCCACCTGGGACCGGCACGGGGCGGGGCGGGACTCACCGCTGATGCTGCCAAACTGGGAAAAGTTGCTGAGCTGAAGAGATGAGGTCCTGATGGGTCCAGAGCCACGAGGAGGGAGAGGCGGGCACCCAGAGCCGTGGAGGGACGGCCAAAGGGAGTGCTCGCGCCACCCGGGTTTCAAGGCACCAAATGTTAGGTTAGGTGGCTCAGGAGGCGGCGCAAGAAATAGAGTCCAGTGAATCAGAAAAGAAAGGAAAGGAAAAGGTTTATTCTGCGTCCCCGGGAGACCCACGTACCCCAAGGACAGGGCACGTGGATTCACACCAACAGGGAGGGGGGGCGCTTTTTTATACTGCGGTTGGGTGAGGGGCGGGGACATGAGCTGAGGAATTCTCTGCTGCAGGGAATGGGCGGAATATTCAGGACGAAGTTCTTATCTGTGTGGGGGTATGTGAATTCAGGGAGAAGAAGCTGGTATCTGTGTCTGGCACCTTGATCTGTGAGAAATTCCAGGGGAAGTCCATTATCTTGTCATGTCTGCATGTATCCGATCCTGGGCTCTCTCCGACCTAACAATTAGCACCCTTTTCAAGATGAGGCAACTGAGGCTCAGGGAAATGGAGGGGCCGGGCCTGTAAGTGACAGAACCAGAATTCCTACCCACAAACCCAGGTTTCCAGTAGACCTGGCCTGTCCGAAAACAGTAGCCATGAGCCACACGTGTCCGGCAGCGCTAGAGATATGATGGGCTGTTTGGGTCACAGACACAGGCGGGAATGTAAACCATCACAACAATTTATGTATTGAGTATATGTTCAGATGAGGATGATTTGAATATACTGAGTTGAATAGAAAATATTACAATTAATCTGTTTCTTTTTACTTTTAAAAAATATATTTTTATTGATTTCAGAGAGGAAGGGAGAGGGAGAGAGAGATAGAAACATCAATGATGAGAGAGAATTATTAATCGACTGCCTCCTGCACACCCCGTACTGGGGATTGAGCCCACAACCTGGGCATGTGCCCCCGCCCGGAATAGAACCTGGGACCCCTCAGTCCACAGGCGGACGCTCTATCCACTGACCCAAACTGGCTAGGGCTCTTTTTACTTTTTTAAAATGTGGCTACTAGAAAATTGTAAAATATAGTAAGTTACATATTATATTTCTGTTGGATGAGGCTGATCTGCACTTGGTTCTCTAGAATCACATGAGATGTTTTCTGCAGCAAGGTTCTGCTGGCAGGCTGTGCCAGGCAGTGGGGAGAGCAGCAGGGCAGCATGGTATTGAAGCTAGAGTTAGCTACCTAGAACAGAGCAGTGAAACTGTAATAAAAGGGGGCTGCTTGCTGTGTGACCGTGGGCAAGTCTCTTCCCCTCTCTGAGCCTTACTTTGCCCCTCATTACATCAAAGCCATCTGAAATTATTTGGCTTCTTGATGGTTGCTTGCCTCCCCCTGTCTAGGATGTGATATCTATGAGAGCAGAGAGCTTGCTTCTCGCTCACTCACCTTATGAACCTAGCACATAGTAGGTGTTCAGTACACATCTGGTAAATGGATGAACGGAGGGATCGGTCCCTTCTTTCAAGTGCCCTCCACTTGGAGGAGTCGGGGATGATTGCTGGGAGAATGGGGAGCTCAGATGGGCTGTTCAGATCCTCTCAGGCAGAACCAGAAGTGGCCTGGGGGCCACAGGCCCTGTGAGTCACTGCTTCCCTTCCTGCTCCTTCTCTTGGGGGCTGCAGGCAGGTTCGAAGCCTCTGTGATTGAGGAGCGGCGAAAAGGGGCTGAGGACTTGCTTCGCTTCACTGTGCATATCCCCGCGCTCAACAACAGCCCCCAACTCAAGGAGTTCTTCCGGGTATGTGGACCTGCTCGACCCCTCCCCCGCACCTGGGAACCCTTCCTGCTCCCGGCTGCACTCTGTGACTCCTCCCGGCTGGGCTCTCTCCTGCAGGGTGGGGAGGTGACACGGCCCTCCCCGGTGTCCAGGGACCTGCACATCCTGCCACCCCCTCTGATCCCCACACCGCCTCCTGAGGAGTTCCAACCACCACCTGATGAGTCCTGGTTACCCCAGCCACTCCCCACAGAGAAGAGGGGCCTTGAGGAGTTGGAGGTGCCAGGTATTAGGGGTGGGGGAGGGAGCCAAGGCTGGTGGGTCCAGAGTGGGGCAGGGGCCCACTCCCTCCTCAGTGATCTTAGTGAAAAGCCTGGGGTGTGTTCCAGCTCTTTTACCACTAACCCGCCGGGAGCTCTGCACAGGGCACCTAGGCTGTAGTTTCTTAATCTGTAAATGGGTACAAACCCTAAGAATGGGCTTGTCTACACTCAGGGTTGCTGCTCGGATTCAGTGAAATAGCTCCATTTTGAAAGCTGTGAAGGAATAAGGGCAGACATAAATGTCACCCATGATCTATTCCTCAGCCGACCCCCTGCCATCCAGCCCAGCCCAGGAGGCCCTGGATCTTCTCTTTAACTGTGGGAGCACCGAGGAGGCGTCTAGTTCCCCTGCCCGAGGCCCCCTCACTGAGGCCGAGCTTGCCCTCTTCGACCCCTTCTCCAAGGAAGGTAACAGCTGGGACAATCAGAGGGAGGGCTGGGCAGAAGGTGCTCAGAGGAAGGGAGGCAGGCAGTGCCACCAGGTAGGCTGTGGTGCCCGTGTAAGTCTGAGAAAGGTGCCCTCTGTGGGCAAATGGCAGCCTCCAGGAGAATTAGAAGCAGGTCCCATCGCCCTGTGCCAGGGCGTGGTAAGCTGGATGCCCTTGTGCAGTGAGCAACCATGGAGGAATGTAATAAGCCACTTCCCAGGGGAGATCTTCGCCCTGCAGAAGCTCTGGAAGGAGCAGGGGCCACCCTGCTTCAGGCTGGCTCAGGGCCTGAAGTCAGGAGAGGCCTATTGGTCAAGGCGGGTGAGGCCTGCGCTCAGGAAGCAGCAGGGGAAGGCCCTGGAGAAGCTGTTGGCCTGTGGGGGCACCAAGATGGAAGGGGTCCCCATGGAGATCCAGGTCCTGAGCTCCTGGCACTGAAATGGGGGACCCGACAGTCCTGGACTCTGTGACCCTGGATCTCTCCGTGGTGAATTCTCTGCGTTTATGCTGCTCCTGCAGCTGCTGTGTTGAAGGGGCTGGTCTCACCTAGGGATCATCATGAATCCGTTTCATCTGGATTCCTCAACAGCCTTTAAGCCCATGTTATTGGCTTCTCTTATTCTTCCTTTGGTGACCTCCGGCAGGTACTTAGCTTTCGGATCAGTTTCAGACACTTGAGCTCTCTCACCCTCAGGTCTGGTCCAAACCGGGACCTCGGTCTCTCATCCGGTTTTCACCCTCACCCCCTCGACCCTGCTCAGTCCTGACTGGTGGCCTGGCCCCTGGTCCTGGTGACCAGGCCCTTGGTGGCCAAGGGTATGAGGGTCCTTTTGCTCCTCTAATTTGCTCCCTCCCCTTCCTGCTCCGGCCCCTCCAGGGTTGGGGAGGAGAAGGGAATTAGGGGGGACAAGGCAGGAGTGGTGTCACTGGGACTGATGTGCCGGCTCTGAGGGGCAGGTGTCCAAATACTCTGCCTTGCCCCAACCTGGGCTGCCCGGTGGCCAGACGCCTAGACAGGAGCCCTATTGAGTCCTCCAAGGTGGCTCCCGTGAGACATCCCTCAGCCTGTGCGAGAACTCACAAACCCTGACCCCAAAGCCAGGAACTGCACTTTGCTCAGATGCCGCCTCAACTTCTCGCCCTGCTCTTGTGGGCCTCTGAGCATCGGAAGCTCCAGACAAGCATGGCACTCTCTCTTCATCTCACACCAAACTCCCGAACTCAAGTATTAGGGCACCCCAAGAACTCTTCTGCCTTCTCTCCATTAGCGACGCAGAGGGATGCAGGCACAGCTGGGAAGTGAGATGGCATCTTCCCTTCCTGCAGGAAGCCCTGCGCTGCTCATGGGGTCACTTGGATGGGGTTGGAGAGATACCCACACTTCCCTCTCTGGGCCAGCGGTGTGCCATGGTGCTTCTTGATCCTGCACCTTGCCTTCAAAAGCTTTTTTATCACAGATTCACCAGATCTCTAGTCTTCTTTTGTATAAGCTACAAAGGAGATGTTCACCCACCTCTTTGCCAATCCTGGGGGTATATGAGCCCTCTCTCTGGAATGTGAGGATACCTACTACCCAGGGTCTTCACATATGGGGCCTCAACAAGAGCCCTAAGCCCGACCAGCATGGCTCAGTGGTTGAGCATTGACCTATGAACCAGGAGGTCAAGGTTCGATTCCTGGTCAGGGCACATGCCCAGATTGCGGGCTTGGTCCCCAGTGGGGGCATGAAGAAGGCATCTGATAATGATTTTTCTCTCATCATTGATGTTTCTGTCTCTCTCTCCCTCTCCCTTCCCCTTTGAAATCAATAAAAATATGGGTGTTTTTGGTTTGTTTGTTTTTTTTAAAAGCCCTGAGATTCCAAGGCTTGGAGTATTTGTACCCTTGGCCTGGCGTAGCTGGTCTAGCATCCTTCAATTAAACTTTATTGAGGGAATTCTTGGATTGATAGATCAGCTGTAGTCAGGGGGAAAGTAAGACTAGTGACCCAGAGCTTGCAAACTAAAGTTAATGTGGACTTTAAAGAAAGAATTAGGAAGGAAGGCTGTTTTTACAAAAGCTATGAACTCCACCAGTCAAATAGATCATGGCTACCTTTCCATGCACAGTGGCTTCGGAACTGCTCAGGCACTGCTTCTCCCCACCGGGGCCAGGTTGGTCCCCTAATGGGAAGAGAGGTCTGGGGGTGGGCAGCAGGCCCTGGGAAAGGGACAGCCAGTGTAGCCTGAGTCCTCCATATCTGATTGCAGAAGGTGCAGGCCCCAGTCCTACCCACATAGGTGAGCTGACAGCAATGGAGGCAGAGTCTGAGAGGCTGGACCAGGAAGCCTGGGAGCCCAGAGGACAGGAGGAGGAAGAAGACAAGGAAGGAGGGCCCACCCCTGCCTATGTGAGCCAAGCCACTGAGCTCATCACCCAGGCCCTGCGGGATGAGAAGGCAGGCGCCTACGCTGCAGCTCTGCAGGGCTACCGGGACGGCGTGCACATCCTGCTTCAGGGAGTCCCCGGTGAGTAGGACTGGAGAGAGGAGGGTCAGGCCTGGGGTCCCAGATGGTGCAGTGAAGGGAAGGGAAAGTGAAGAACAAGCAAGTCAAGGATGAGAATTGCTCCTTACTGACAAGCTGTAAAGCCTTGGGCAGTTTCTCTGCCTCTTGTGGCCTCAGTTGTCTTGTTTATAAAATGGGAAGATAGATCTGATCCCCAGGGAAGGGGAAAGACACATGCTTTGTGAGGGATAAGGGTCTAGACAGGGGTTCTGAACCCAGTAGCTCAGTTGAGCCATTCTCTCTCCACAGGTGACCCATCGCCTGCCCGGCGGGAAGGAGTGAAGAAGAAGGCAGCCGAGTACCTAAAGCGGGCAGAGGAAATCCTGCACCGGCACCTGTCCAAAGTCCCACCCTGAGAGGGAGCGGACCCTTCCCCCGGACTCCAGCACTGCCAGCCACCCCCTTCTCCTCTCCCTGGAACTTGCCCTATCTCCTGGTCTTGTAACTCGAGAGACCATTTCTGTATGTAACTGGACCAAGAATGAGAAAAATAATGACTTCTCAGTTCCCTGACCACACCCGCCAGCATGGAATCAGGGACTCACACCTTTGATCCTGCCTGTCTCTGTTGATGTGTGGGCAGTAGCTCTAAACTTTCTGTTTATCCTTCTAGAACTGGGGTCTGCAAACTGCGGCCTGCAGCCAAATCTGGCCCACCACCTTTTTATTTGTAAAGCCTGTGAGCTAGAATGGTTTTTACATTTTTTAAATAGTTGAAAAAAATCAAAAGAATAATGTTCGGTGACAGGTGAAAATGAAGCTTAAGTATCTAAAAATACAATTTTATTGGACTACAACCAGGTTCATCCATTTAGTATTGTCCATGGCTGCTTTCTCATTACCCGAGAAGGGTTGACTGGTAGCAGAGGTATGTAGTTGCCACCGGAAGTCCCAAAACATTTACTCTCTGGCCCTTTGCAGAAAATTTGCTGACCCTGGAACTACAAAATGGGGAGAACAGTCTCCAGGGAAACAGGGGAGCATGACAGTAAGGCTGACGGGGCCAGTTTATTGGTCGACCGGGATGGATGATGGAGAGGAACCCGAAGCGGGGTTATCCATTTTGCAGGAGTGCACAAGATCCTGGGGAGGCGTGGCTCTGCTCCTGCCCGCCCCGCTGCAAAGCGATTGGTTGTGGGAGGGAACTACAAGCCGGTGCATCATGGGAGTGGCCCGGGCTGTGCGCGGCGCATTATGGGGGCTTTTGGGGTCCTGAGCGGGCGGCGCTGAACTACAGCGCAGTGCATCTCGGGAGGCCCGCTCCAAGCTTTGTGGGAAGCAACTGACTCGGTGAGAGGAGGGCGGTTGCCGACGCCGGCGGGGACGTTTACACCCCGCCCAGTCTTCTCCGATCCTCCGTCGGTCTCGGCGTGCCCCCCACTTCCTGCAGGATGGGGCGAGGGGCCGCCGCTGTCCTCGGGATGCTGAGCGCCCATCCTCTCTCCCCAGCCCACCATGTCCGGCTGCGAGCTGCCTGTGGGCACATGCCCGGACATGTGCCCAGCCTCCGAGCGCGCCCGACGCGAAAAGGAGGGCCGCCTGCATCGCTTCGAGGTGGCGCCGGGCTGCTGCGGGGGCTGGCCCCGCGCTGACCCGCAGCGCGCCGTGAAGGAGTACAGCCGGCCGGCCGCCGGCAAGGCCCTGCCCCAGCCGAGCCAGCTCCGGCCGCCGGCCGTGCTGCTGGCCACCGTGCGCTACTTGGCCAGCGAGGTGGCGGGACGCACCGACGCATCCCGCGCGGAGGTGGCCAGCTTCGTGGCGGACCGGCTGCGCGCCGTGCGCCTGGACCTGGCCCTGCAGAGCGCGGGCGACGCCGAGGCCGCGGTGGTGCTGGAGGCGGCGCTGGCCGTGCTGCTGGCCGTGGTGGCGCAGCTCCGGCCCAATGCCGCGTACGGGCTGGTGGACCGGGCGCTGCTGCAGGGCCAGGTGCAGGAGGGCTTCGGTTCGCTGCGGCGCTGCTACGCGCGGGGCGCAGGGCCGCACCCCCGCCAGGCCGCCTTCCAGGGCCTCTTCCTGCTCTATAACCTGGGTGAGTCGGGGCCCCCGCGTCGGGACAGCACGCGGAGGTGGGTTCCCTGTATGTGGACAGTGGATGCCGGGAGGAAGAGAAGCTTTCCAATCTCACCCTTAGCCCCCTCCCCCTCCCTGCCGCTTAAATGTTAAATGTGTGTCAAGTCAGAGCACGAGATCCACCAACCAAGACATTTAGATCCTTTCTGTGGATGGAGGGTGCATTCTGATAAGTAATATTCTATTTAAATATAATAAAATGCTGTTGACTTCACCACCCACTGATGGGTCAGAGGCCTCAGCTTACAAAAGCGGCCAAAGGTCCCAGGTGTCTGATTCTTGGAAGGGAAGCAGGGGCAGTATCTCCTCCAAGAAATGGCCTTGCCAAAGGGACAGGGAGGATGGTGCCAAGCCGGAGCGCTGATCTGTGGGGCAGGTGGGGCAGTGGAGAAAGAACGGGGTTTCAAGTCAGAAAACTGGGATTTGAATGCTCTGGTCCCACGACATACGAACTGTAAGACAGTTCAAGTCTCGGGCAAGTTGTTAAATTATCTGGGCCTTTCCCCCTCATCCGTGAACACTGCTTCGCTTTATTATAAGGATCCAAACTGTTTGAAGGGGCAACCTCAGTCAGATAGGGCTCAGGAAGGGCTGAGGGGAAGGTGAAGGTGCCCTTGGCCTAGGGGAGGGGCGTGGCCGGGTGGGTGGGTAACAGGACTGAGTGGGGAGGTGGGCTTGGTGGAGGACTGGAGCCCCTGGGGGCTCAGGTGGGGTAGGCAGGCAGAAGCGGATGGGATGAAAGCTGGGCCTGGGCCTGGCAGACTCGTGTGGTCCTCATCCCAGCTTTCTGCCCTCACAGGCTCAGTGGAGGCCCTTCACAGTGTTCTGCAGCTGCCAGCTGCCCTGCGCTCCTGCCCAGCCCTACGCACGGCCCTGGCTGTGGACGCAGCCTTCCGGGAAGGCAATGCTGCCCGCCTATTCCGCCTGCTCCGGGTCCTGCCGTACCTGCAGAGCTGCGCCGTGCAGTGCCACGTGGGCCATGCCCGCCGCAGAGCCCTGGCCTGCCTCAATCGTGCCCTGAGCACCCCCAAGGGCCAGACCTTACCCCTGGGGTACATGGTCCACCTGCTGGCCCTGGATGGGCCCGAGGAGGCACGGGACCTGTGCCAGGCCCATGGACTGCCCTTGGTTGGACAGGACAGAGTTGTGTTCCAGAGGGGTCACTACGCTGAGGAGGGGCTGCCGCCCGCTGGGACCTGCAAAGTGTTGGTGGGAAGCAAGCTTGGAGGGCGCTCCCTGGAGGAAGTAGTCATGGCGGAGGAGGAAGAGGTGGGTGGGGACAGGTCCAAGCCCCTTGAGTAAGGAGGGGCTGTGCAGTCTCCCAGAGCCCAGGACCGGGTCTGAGCACTCAGGCCCCTTTTCTCATGATTCCCACACAATAAAAGGAACTTGTTTTGTAAGGACAATAGCTGGGCTTGATTTATTTGGGGAAGGGCAGGAGGGAGTTGAGAAAGGTGAGGTATGAGGGTGGAGGAACCCAGAGTGGGCAAGGCCCTGTTTGCCCTGGGCCTCAGTCTCCCTGCTGTCCCTGCGGAGTAGCCCTGGTGGACTCGGAGCCGGCATCTAAGGTTGGCATGTATACTATCCTCACCCACCCACCACCAAGAGCAACTGAGGGCTTTGCCATTCCCACCATCCCTGCTCCTTTTCTCTACCCTCTCAACCAAGAGCCAGGATGAGGGAGAGTCATTCAGGGCTTGTCACTCCCCTCAGGTGACCACAACTGGTAGGGCCCTGAGCTGTTGCCCCAGAAGCTGGAAAGGATCCCAGAGTGTGACCTCCCTTGGCATCAGGGAAGACTGGGACACCCAGAGAAAACGAGTGGGGAGAGGGTTCAGATAAAGGGGGGGTAGAGGCAAGCTGAGGAAGGAGGGCTGGGGTCAGAGGTCAGCCACGGGCCTCAGGGTGGCTGCTGCACCCTCCAGGGCCACCACGACAATGCTGAGCTGCCTCTGCACCTCAGCCCAGGCCGCAGATCCTGGGTCTGTGTCGATGGCCCTGAGAAAGGCACTGGCCAGGCCTGGGAATGTATCCAGGAAGTTGTTACGAGGAGCCCAGAGCACGTGGCTAACAGGAGAAATAGGGAGCATCAGGGCTATTTGCTTCAGCCTGGAATGGGCTCAGCTCCTGGGCAGAGCCAGGCACAAAAGCACCTCCCACTGCCTTAAAAGCTGCGGCTCTTACTGGTAGCAGAGGTAAATTCTACTCCCAGCGTGACCGTGACTGATTTGCATCCCTTCCTTTGAGCCTGATACCCTTTAAGGCCAGTGAAATGCTGGCATTCTCCTCCTTCAGTGCCCATTACTCAGCCTCACCCCACTGCACCTCTCAGGAGCTTTGGGACAGGCTCACCTATAGTAGCGTTCCTCTGGGAAGGCTCGAGGGTTCAGGAAGGCCCGTTCCAGGAGCATCAACTGGTCATTGAGCATCCGTACCTGCAGGGGGCTGGAGGTGGCAGGACTTGCTGGTCACTCTGGAGCCAGCAGCCCAGCTGCCAGCCTGCATCTTGCCCTGGATGCCACCCTCCCAGGCACCTGCTTGCTGCCCTTGCTCACTCGAAGGTGCCCTTCTGCAGCGCTGATATGCGTTGGCCCAAGGCCACAGCTGCCCTCTCGAACTTCTCCACTGCAGTCACCAGAGGCCCTGTGGGTACAGCCAGCATCTTAGCCCGGGGAGTTCAGGCTTCCCTGTGCCTCTTGTCAGGGGGCCTTCGTACCCAGGCTGATGCTGTGCTTCTCCAGCAGGGGCCCCAAGTACAGCTGGGCAGCCTGCAGGAAGCTTTGGAGGGTCTCACTGTAGTCACTGACGTTGAGAGGCAGAAAAAGGCTGTCACTGAGCCGAAGAAGCACGTTCCCCACCGTCCTGGCCACGGCCTGGTGGCTGCTGAAGCCTGCAGAGAGGGCGACAAGGCCAGGGCTCCGTCTTCAGCCCATCCTCCTCCAGCCCCAGGATGCTCTTGACCCTGTCCTCACCGGGGTCCACAAACTTTTCCACGTAACCAAAGGTGTCGAAAGCTGTGTGGTAGGTGGGGTAGGTCCTGGCTGAGGTCTTGCTCTAGAGAAACAAAGTCCAAACGTGACAGGCTTGAGATGGGAAGTGGGAGGAGGTGTGCCTACAGTGAGCTACAATGTAGAGACATTCCCTCAAACCATTGCCCCATCCATGAGGTAGTTCCTAGAATTCCCACTTTATAGAAGAAGAAACTCCTGCTCAGAGAGGTTAAGTAACCTGCCTGATATCACACAGCTAATAAGTGGCAGGGCTGGGTCAGGTGCCAGTTTCCTGTTTCACATGAAGAAGAGCCCAGAGCTTTGGAGTCAGACAGGATTTAAATCTACCTTCACTACCCAGGAACAGGAAGGGAGAGACTTTTGGAGACACAGGCTGGGGACTCTATAACCCCCTGTCTCATTCACTCTCACACCCATGCATTTAATCTATTCTGAGAGAAACTTTTTTCCCCATTTTAAAGATTCTGGAATCAAGATGCTTACAGTCAGTGTCATTCTACGCTTCATTGGCAGTGCCGTTCCCCCTCCTGAAGGGTGCATATCATGTGCGTCTTACAGTCAATAGCATCTCTCCTGAAGGGTGCATATCATGTGCATCTTACAGTCAATAGCATCTCTCCTGAAGGGTGCATATCATGTGCATCTTACAGTCAATAGCATCTCTCCTGAAGGGTGCATATCATGTGCGTCTTACAGTCAATAGCATCTCTCCTGAA